GAGGATAAAAATCATTAACCAGGAAGTGTTCTCAGACTTCCTGCCTTCCTCCGGACCCTGTCATTGACCCGATTCCTCCTTTTTGCCTCCCACCTACTGTAGAGGGGGGTTCTTCCTTGCTGGGGGAGGTTAAGATGCAGGGAGATGGGGAGGGTTGAGAAGACGGGAGTGGAGGAGCTGCAGGTCCTGAAGGGCGTGGGTGGGAGATAAAGATGTTCATGGAATTGTTATGGAATCTGGAACACAAATGTCTTCGCAGGGTTTGGGGTAGGCAAGTCCAGTTCTGAGTCATGTTGGAATTAACTTCAGATGTCTTGACCGCAAGGCAGCCAGGAGACTGGACCACTCGGGTCCAGATACACAAGGGTTACCCACCACTGGCCAAGGAGTCCTGGGGGCTGCTCCCCAGACCTGACAGCACGTTCTTTGAGTCACCTTTCTGGGGGCACACCTCCCCCCTTGTAGGGCACTGTTTCACTGGAAATTGCTAAAGAGGGCCGGAGCCAAGTTTGGTTAGATGTTGGGCAATACTGGTGTTTTTTTTTTTTTTTTTTGCGGTACGCGGGCCTCTCACTGTTGTGGCCTCTCCTGTTGCGGAGCACAGGCTCCGGACGTGCAGGCTCAGCAGCCATGGCTGACGGGCGCAGCCGCTCCGCGGCATGTGGGATCTTCCCAGACCGGGGCACAAACCCGCGTCCCCTGCATCGGCAGGCGGACTCCCAACCACTGCGCCACCAGGGAAGCCCTGGGCAATACTGTTTTTGCCCAAAAGTGAGTAAAATGATCATAATGTTATGATGTTGACTTTGCTGTGGGACTTAGTAAAAGCGTTCTGAAGATGGTTTTGAAGAGGGAAAGCTTTCAGTCTGGGTTTGCTTTGACCCCAAAGAGGAGGTCCTTGAGGAGAACCACCGACCTCTGCTGCCCTCACTCAGTCCTCCTGGCGCCCCGACTCTTTGCTGGGTCATCGCGGGCCACCCCCCCACCCCACCACTGATAGCATCACCCCTGCGCCGGCTGCATCCTGGTCTCCATCTCTTCTATCTAGCTACAGAAAATCCCTTTTCCAGACTTAGAAAGAAACGTACCAACGTGCAGAAGTGTACTTCCATTGAGGGTAGAGGACTGATTCTCATCTGGGAGGATTTCTGCCTCTCAGGGGACATGTGGCAAAGTCTGGAGATGTTTTTGATTGTCGCAACTGGGGGTGGGGCTGTGCTGATGGAATCTAGTGGGTGGAGTCCAGAGATGCTGCTAAACATCCTACAATGCACAGGACAGCCTCCCACGGCAAAGGCTGATCCAGCCCAAATGTCAATGGTGCCGAGGCTGAGGCACCCTGGGGACAAAAGAGTCCAAGACAGCTCTGTACTTTCTTTTCCTGTTATTTTCCAGCCTTTCCCAAATGAATATATATTACTTTGGATTCAGGGAAAACAAAATGTTTGAAGAAAGGAAAACCTCTTTTCCTTTCAAGTGATGCAAGCTTGGCATTGAAAAGGAAAAAGAGAGTAATTATCGAGGCGCCAAGGAGAAACAGGGGAAATACAGAAATAGGGCAATAAACAAATTTGGAGAATTCAATCTGACAAATATTTGTTGAGTTCAGGGTGCTGCAGGATGCTTGGTGGGTCCAAGTTGAACAAGACCGTATCCCAAGCCCAGAGGAGGTCACAGGTCTGCTGTGCAGAATCTTCTAGGCCAAGAAAAACTCTCTGCAGAATGAGACAATATGAGAAACGCAAGCAAAAAAGAGCAGGGAGAGTTTGTTCCAGTTGAGGGTCTGGGAGGCCTTCAGAAGGAATATGAAGCACCTGAGTTGGGTCTTGGGTAGGATTTTTTTTTTTTTGGCTGCGTTGGGTCTTTGTTGCTGCGCGCCGGCTTTCTCTAGTTGCGGAGAGCAGGGGCTACTCTTTGTTGAGGTGGCTTCTTTTGTTGTGGAGAACACGCCCTAGAGTGGGCGGGCTTCAGTAGTTGTGGTGCACTGGCTTAGTTGCTCCGTGGCATGTGGGATCTTCCTGGACCAGGGATTGAACCCGTGTCCCCTGCACTGGCAGGCAGATTCTTAACCACTGCGCCACCAGGGAGGTCCCTTGGGTGGGATTTTGATGTGATCTGAGGGCAGCCTGTTGAATTCAAATCCAGCCCCCATGGCTTAAAAAGTGGGCAGCCTGGGCTAACCTGGTGGCGCAGTGGTTGAGAGTCTGCCTGCCGATGCAGGGTACATGGGTTCGTGCCCTGGTCCGGGAAGATCCCACATACCGCGGAGCGGCTAGGCCTGTGAGCCATGGCCGCTGAGCCTGCGCGTCCGGAGCCTGTGCTCCGCAACGGGGGAGGCCACAACAGTGAGAGGCCCACGTACCGCAAAAAAAAAAAAAAAGAAAAACACACACACACAAAAGTGGGCAGCCTTAGGCTAATCGACTTCTCATCACGGTTTCTTCATTAGTAAATTCAGTATAATAATGAATGAATATTGTCTCCTTAAAAGATTCACCGCAGGTCCATACGAGACCTGTGATGGGGTAAAAACTATTAATGAGGAAGTGTTCTCGGAAGGAACCCTAACCTTTAGGGTTGTAAGGATGAGTGAAAATGATGCAGGGATGCCCAGCACTGGGCCTGGGGCAGTTGTCAGTCCTGTTAGCCTGGTTATTAGCAGAAGAAAAGAGGACAAAGGGTGCTCCTGGCCAGGGGAGAAGGATGTGGGCAGGTGGGCAGGTGCCAGGAGTTTGGGGGTGTGGCTGGAACCTGGTGCTCAAACTGTGGTGCCTTGGCAGCACCTGGGGGCTTTTGGAAAATGTCTGTCCCAGATCTGCCAAATCAGAATCTGCATTTTCACAAGATTTCCCAGGTGATGTGTATGCACGTTGCAGTACGTGAAGCAGGGAGCTTGAACATGGGATGAGGGGTGCTGGGCAATGCAGGCGAAGTGTGGGAGCAGACTGGGGAGGGTGGTGACCACCCTGGCAAGGAGCCTGGAGAAATGATGGATGCGTAGAGGGGGCGAGGAGAGAGAGGGAGAGACTCTTTTAATATGTATTTTATAAATTACATTTACATGTACAAATTTTCTTTGCCAAGTGGAGGGGAGGTAGTGGACATTTTGAGGAGGGGGGCTGGTCCAAGCAGTCTCTCTGTCATTTGGAAGGTCTCTGGGTCCTGACCCTTGGCAGGTAGAGAACGTGGAGGTGGGGGGCCCAGCTAATCCACTGCAGGGGGTGGGGGTTGTGCAGAGAATTGAAGAGCGGGCAGAAGTGTGGGTTCGGGGGGGGGCGGATTCCTGGGGAGGCCAGGCTTCCTGTCTCAGAGTCTCATAGCACATCTCTGAGGATCCATCGGGAGAGCCTCGGCTCTGGTTCCCGGTCTTCGGCCTCTCCCAGGTTCTCCTGACTTGGCACGGGGTTCCAGCAGCGAGGGCGGCCAGAGAATTCTGCCTTCCGAGCTAAAACAGCGAGCCTGCTAACACGCAGAATAAAGAACAAAGCCAAAGAGTCGGCCCCGCGGAGAGGGTCGTGCCCTCACCGGCCACGAGGCCTCTGAGCCATGGAGTTGAAGGAGGTCCATGGTGGCCCGAGATGCGTGAAAGGAGCATTCATCTGGGTAGACGGTTACCGACTAAAACAGAAATCCGTCTCGGTATTTTAGTTTTCCTTAGACATGAAAGAGGAGTTAAAGACAAATCAGACGGGACCTTCTGAGGTTCCCTTGCTTTGATGCTTTGCCCCTCCCCACGATGCCTGGTTCCCGGCCCCAGCCCAGCTGCAGGGGCAGGGTGGAGGCGTGCTTGCTCCCCCGGCCTCAGTTCTTTCACTGTGCAGGCCAGAGGGTCCAATTAGGTGTCCTTGTCAGCCCTTTTGGTGTTAAATTGTATGATTCGGTGAACAAAATGGGCTGGGATTGACCACCGTCACCCCCTCCGTGATGGGGAGGTTTCCCAGCCACCAGAAACAGTCGAGGCACGTGTGACTTCTGACTCCACACACCAGAAACGGCTGAGGCACGCGTGTAAATCCCACAGCTGGGGTTAGCCGGGGTGATGCCTCTGACGGTGAGAAACCAGTGGGATTTGTCTGTTTTAAGCCCAAGCACTGCCCCCTAGTGGGCTCACTGGGAACCCCCAGTGGACAGCTCTTTCTGGAAGGACTATCTCAATCCTGTACAAAGAGGGTCCGGGGCTGGCTTCGATGACAATAAATGCCCTGTGCGGCGGGGCGCCACCCCCCGCAACGCCAGATGCTCGAGGACACGCTCTTGCGCCCCCTGGTGGCCAGAGAGCGACATGTCAGCGCCTGCCTGCCCACCGGGCCCCACAGTGCAGGCTGGGGCAAAGTCCCTGGACAGCGGACCCCCCAGATTCATTCGGGATTTTGCTCATTGTCTTAACAGGGCCGAGACACGACCATCTGCAGAGCTCAGGGTTGAGGGGTCTCCTTCCTGGGAGGCGTGGGGGGCCAGGCAGAGCCATGCTCAGCGGCAGCAGGTGGCCTGGTGCTCCAACGCCAGCCCGGCCCCAGGGCGTGTGCGTGAGGGTGTGCGAGTCTGTGCGTATAAGTCTGTGAGTGTGCTGAGAGTGTGAATGCCAGGTGTGGGCATGGATGTGTGCATGTGAGCGTACGTATATGCACGTGAGTGCACCGGAGTACACGTGAGTGTGTTGAGTGTGCAAGTGTAAACACAAGAGAGTGTGGGTCTGAGTGTAAGTGTACCGAGTGTCTTGAGTGTGTACAGAGTGTGTTTGTGTATGAGTGTGTATTGAGTGTGTGAGTATGTGCGTGCGTGAGGGCACGTGTGCATGTGCATGAATGTGCACCGGGGTTTGTGAGTGTGTATGTTGAGCTTGTGTGACTGTGTGTGTGAGTGTGAGTGGGTGATCGCCGTCCCAGGGAGAGTGGCAGCTGAAGCACTTAGTGGGTCAGCTTGGTGGGTCGGGCAAGCACTGCAGGCTTGTTTCCCTGCAGGGCCCTTCCAACCCGTGTCCTCCCCGTGTGTCTCCCCAGCAGGGCTCAGCGGGAAGATGGGCCCCCGTGGGCTGGGACCCGCGCTGGCGTGCTGCCTGCTGCTGGCCTTTGCCTGTGGCCCGGTGCTGGGCCGCGTGCCCCATGCGCAGCTCGAACAGCAGCAGCAGCAGGGGACCAGGGAGCCACCGCTGGACCACGCTGAGAGGTGAGGCTGTGCGGTGTGGATGCAGGAGCGCTGGCTCAGCAGCGGGGATGAGCCTGGGGGTCAGGTGCCCCAGAGGGCTCTTTGGCAGCTAGAGGGGAAGGAGCAGAGGCCAAGGCTGAGGAGCCGGTGCTGGGGGACAGAGGCGCCATTTCTCCTGTCAGTGACCCGGGCCTGTTATCTGAAACTGCGGACAGTAACCCAGCCTCATTCCAACCCCAGAGGAATGTGGGTCTGTGTGAGGTTCTGCAGCCACATCCTTAAAAGAAGAACACACCAAAACCCCAACCCCCAGCTCTCGGTTTCTTCGCATCCTTGCCTGTCCTTTGAGAATATCTTCTAGGGTTCTAAGTACCACCTGGAAGTAGGAGACAGGGACGATGCTGGGCTGAGAGCTGATCTCCACCACCCTGATGTCTGATCACATTGCAAGATGGGGGATGGTGGCTGAAGACTGGCACAAGAAGTGGTGGCTTTCCTTGAAAAGTTATGAATTTCTTGCAAATGGCACTGTCTTCATATATATGACCTTCGATGATATATAGACTCCAGGCTATTTGGGATATTTTGTAGGGATACATAAAATGCTTAGGATTACTCATGAAAATGTCATTCATCAAACGTGAGGTCCTAGACACCTGATGCTGACTTTGAGTTTCTTTATCACTTTGAGCTTTGGGCTGACGTGATACCTGAGGCTTTGGGCTGTCTTGGAGTACAATGGAATTGCATAGGATTTGGGGCAAAGTAACATCATTCTTCTTCTTTGTCTTTTCTTCTCCTTCTCCTCTTCTTTTCATTCAACAAACGTTGATTGAGGGCCGTTATTGGTCTGGCTATCCTCTAGGCACTGAATGACACAGTCACTGGCCTCCAGGAACTCCAAGGCTATGGGGGGACAGACACACACAATCCAGTTCAGTGTGTCCACAGTGTGGACACGCGGGGCAGGGGTGGGGGGTGGGGAAGGCTAGGAGGAGGAGTGACTGGGTCTTGAGGACACCTGAGGGGCATCCCAGGCACAGGAGGGGAAAGCCGCCTGGCAGCCAGGATGGCACATGCGAAGTGTGGCCATTCCAGTGTGTGGCAGTGTAAGGGCTGGTAGGTCGTTTGGGTAGGGTGGTTGGATGCCGGAGGGTGGAGGATGGGAGGGCAGATGAACCTGGTGGGAAAGGGTCTCTTTGGAACTTCATCTATAGGGGAGTCATGGAGAGGTTTAAATTTCATGGTGCCCTAGAAAGAATGCTGGAGGGTGGCAGAACAGAGGATGAATTGGCAAGGGAGAGATGAATTCCAGGAGGGCATTCCGAACAGCAGTGGTCCCTAGAGGTGAGGAGAGCCGAGGGCCCAGCTCCTGGAGGTACTTTGATGGTGGGGTGGGCTGACTCCTCAGGACTCCGTGATCCTCAGAATGGATTGGTGAGGCCAGAGAAGCGTCTGCAATGAGGCTGAGCGTTCCATTCTGGGCGACTGGCGATGCTGCTGCTGCTGTGAACAGGGTTTGGAAAGAGAAGATTCTAGGGATGAGCGGCAGTGATGGGCCATCAGTTTGGGACACATCTCGTGTGTGGGGCTTATTGAATCTTTAAATGGAGACTTCTGGTGAGAGGTGGGCGGGGGTCCATCTGGGAGTCTAGGGCTTGTAGGTGGCTGAGTTTAGGGTGTATAGATCCATTTCCTGGATTGTCTGTGGTCTGAATATGGGAGCAGAGTGAGACAAAGAGCTGACCCTTCAAGACGGACTGTGCCACCTCCAAGATGGCCGTGTCACAGCCAAAGAGCTGCAAGCAGATAGCACGGTGCGGTGCAGTGTGACGCCTCGAGGTAGCAGCAAGGAGCTGTAGCTGCCGCTGCCCCCCGCCCCCCAGGAGCAGATCTGGTTGAGCCCTCTCATTTGCAAATGAGTCAGCTTAACATAGCATCTTCTAGAATCCTAGATACATGAAGGGGATGTCCAGTCACTCCACTGGCATGTCACGTGCCCGATTTCTCCCATGTAGCCTCTATCTTGCCAAGCTCCTCAAATTATTGCCGTTTTTGTTATATCGTTGTTTCCACGACTGTCATTGCTGTCAACAGAGGGCAGGGGGCTCTTTCTGAACCTTCACTAAAAGCCTCAGAATTTGCCAAGAGCCAACGCAGTCTCTGTGGAGGGAAAATTAACACAGCCTCACACATCCAGGTGAGAGAAGGCGAGACAGGTACCTTAGGCCCTCTGGTGGCAGAAGAGAGAAGAGTTCCTGGCTCTGAGAGCTCTTGGCTTTCACGGTGATGTCTTTACTCCCTTAGGGATGAAGAAAAGCATGAAAAATACAGCTCCAGGCAGGAAGACGAGCCCCCCGCATCCCGGTGCTTTCGCTGCTGTGACCCTGGTACTCCCATGTACCAGGCCATCCCGGTGCCACAGATCAACATCACCATCCTGAAAGGTCAGGCACAGAGACCAGCAGGGGGGACCGTCCCCTGGGGAGGGGGCACTGCTCTGTCCTGATTGGAGGGCAGGGCAGAAGATGGAGTTAGGGAGGAGTGGGCAGGAGAAGAATGGCTCCCTCAGGGCACCCAGCAGAGGCATGCTGTCATCTAGCGGGGAGAAGGAAATTCCGTTTCTGAGGCTCTGGCCCCTTTCCAAGAAGAGGGGTTGGGGAGGGATCCACAGGGGAAGGAGCCTCAGGGCAGCTCGGGGTCTCACCCCACCTGCCTTTGCACCGCAAGCCTCAGCTTCACGGTCCTGTGAGCAGCAGATAACCTTGCACAGCCTTGGACGATTGAATCGGGAAGCCAAGCGGCCCGGGTCCCAGATTCTCAGGCCCAGCCCCTGTGTCTGTAGGTCATTTGTTCGGAGGGAGCCTTGGGCCCCGCTGCTGCTCCTGTTGCTTTTGGATAAACGCATACGTTCCCTTTTCTTCGCCAGGACTTTCAAGAAGGAAAAAAAAAAAAAAGATTGCTTCCGGATGAAAATAGAATAATCCTTGAGGTTGCTTGACGCCACGTGTTTTCCCGTCCCATTTAGGTGAGAAGGGCGACCGAGGAGATCGGGGCGTGCAAGGCAAATATGGCAAAACAGGTTCCGTGGGCGCCAGGGGCCACGCGGGACCCAAAGGGCAGAAAGGGTCCATGGGGGCCCCCGGGGACCGGTGCAAGAACCACTACGCTGCCTTTTCGGTGGGCCGGAAGAAGCCCCTGCACAGCAACGACTACTACCAGACGGTGATTTTTGACACGGAGTTCGTGAACCTCTATGGCCACTTCAACATGTTCACGGGAAAATTCTACTGCTATGTGCCCGGCATCTACTTCTTCAGCCTCAATGTGCACACCTGGAACCAGAAGGAGACATACCTGCACATCATGAAGAATGGGGAGGAGGTGGTGATCCTGTACGCCCAGGTGAGCGACCGCAGCATCATGCAGAGCCAGAGCCTGATGCTGGAGCTTCAGGACCAAGACGAGGTGTGGGTGCGCCTCTTCAAGGGCGAGCGCGAGAACGCCATCTTCAGCGATGAGTTTGACACCTACATCACCTTCAGTGGCTACCTGGTCAAGCCCGCCACCGAGCCCTAGCTGCCCGCTAGGGCTAACCTCCATCGCCATAGGCTAACCTCCCGTTGTCTCCGTGCCCCACCCCCGCTCTGCCAGACCCCCTCCCCGACCCGGGTTTCCCCGGCCCACACGTCCCCAGCTTTGGCATTCGACATGACGCCCCTCGCGGGAGTGGGAAGCAACATTGGCTGTGTGGTCCCAGGCCCTGCCGTGTCCGCACATGAAATCACCAGGCGGGTGCCCACGAGAGCTCCCCTCTGTGTGCACGTCCTTGAGTGACCCCTGCACGCGTGCCACGACGCGCCAGGGTGTCCCAGGGTAAGCCACCCTTGCTCCCATTGCTGGGAATAATTAAGCCAGTTCTAAAGGTTGTGAAAGGAGCAAAGTAAACCATGGAAAAGAAAGGGAGGCATTATTATTTTTGCCTTTCTGCCAGCCTCGCTGGCTCCAGGCAGGAGGGCTGTCTCCCCTCGAGGCTGCCGGAGACTTCCTGTAAGAGAAGATCTAAAGTAGATGCCAAGGGTGACAGGGGAAGGGGGTGGGGGGCGTGGGGACCGGAAAACCATGTCTGGCTTAATATTTTAGGCCACGTAGGAACCTTCTTGGGGGACAGCTGGACTGACGTCCACATCCCGTGGACATTCCTGTGGCCTTGCCCGAGGGCTCAGCTGGTCTTTCTGAGCCACAACGGCGAGGGGGTTCGAACTGGGCAGCAAGGGTCAGCTCCTCAGAGGGACAGCCAAGCCCTCGGCCGTGGCCTCTGCATTGGTGAGCAGCCTGCCCGCCGGAACCCGCAGGCTCCTGGCGGTAGATGGCCCCTGGCAGCCAAGCTCAGTACAACCCAGCAGAGCCGTGCATCCTGGCATGGCTCTACCCACTCCCCCACCCCACCCTTGCGTCCTAGACGGGGCCCCCACGCCTGTCACACTGGCATTGGCTTTCTGTCCCTCCTCTCCAACGGGTCAGCTGTGGAAGGAACCAGGGCCTTTGATTTTGCAGCAGCTGTCATGGTTACACAACTTCAATAGACCCTCCTCACCCACCGTCTCAGAGTCCTGTTTCCCAGAGAGTTCACCATTCAGCACCCCAGCACCCTCCCCTGGGGCCTCTTTGACCAGCAGCCTAATAGCAACGCAGGAGGGGGCTTTCCTGGGCCCCAGAGCAGGGGAGAGCTGGAAGGGACCGGAAAACTCCCCCCTGCCTATCTCAGGAGCTCCTGCATGGCTCAGCCTCTGAGGGGGGAGAGAGGGCACGTCCCAACCACCGGGGTCAGAACCTCTGCTCTGAGGGGGTTGGGGGGATGCCTGGAGTGGGGCGCTGCCTGGATTGGTGCTGTGGCCCGTGGCTGACTTTGGCCCGGCAGCCCTTCCCCACTTCTCTGCATCAACGCCCGGGACCAGGGTCACCCCGTCTGCTTGGGCCCTGAGCCCCTCCAGGAGCCTTCCTTCCTACTGCCTGCCTGCTAAGCCCTGATTGACCAATCCCTCTGCCCTCCCTGAGCCTGGCCATTGGGTCTGGGGTCTGCACATCCTTCCCTCTGAAGGACTTCTGCTGGTCAGACTTTAATAACTGTGTATATGTGTGGGAGGGCTGGGGAGCAGGGCGCCCGCCTCCTGCTTTGTGCTGCCCCAGTGCTCTTCCAGAAAACATTAAACCTGGAATTGTGTGTTTCAGCATCGTGGCCTCCTCAGTTTGGGTGTTGAACCAAATCCTCCTCCGTTCTATCCACCCCACCCCACCGCCGGAACGCCGCCTACTGCCTGTTGGAGGCCTGGGGGCCCTCAGCTTGGTACCTGGGGACATTGGTACCCAGCAGGCACAGGCTGGGCCTTGAACTGCCTCATTCGTCACCGGAATGCATTTCACAGTTGGCCCCTTTGGACGCCCTGTAGGGGAGGAGCCTTCCTTGCTTCTTCCGGATGGCCCCAGGTGTTCCATGGCTTGTGTCTGCATTACTCTAACCCCTGCCTATCTCTGTCTTCATGTGGCCTTCTTTCCTAGATCTCTTAAATCTCCCCCTCCCTTCTTTCCCAGTTGTTGGAATTAGGGCCCACCCTAAATCCAGGATGATCCCCTCTCAGGATCCTTGACTCTATTACATCTGCAAAGACCCTATTTCCAAGTAAGGTTACATTCACAGTTAGCAGGGCTCAGGACCTGGACCAATCTTTTGGCCCATGGATGGACACAAGTCAACCCACTACAGCAACTCGCAGGCTTGAATACACCCACCAACAGCCCCCTTTGTGACCAAGTGGTGAAGAGCAGATGTTTCTTCTCTCCATCGTTTGCCAACTGGGTTAGTGGCCAGGGCCCTTACCAGACGGCCAGCAGGCAGTGCAGAAGCTGCCTGGGTCCTGTTGGTGCCAGCAGGCTGGCAAACAGCTGCTGGCCTCCCTTTGCCTGGTTCTGGGTGAGCCGGCGCGGCCGTGCTCGGCCTTGTGCTGAGCCCAGACCGGAGCAGGCGGACACCGCAACCCCGCTCCCTGCAGGACAAAGATTGGGCCTCACCATCCTGCAGCTGAGGCCACCGGGCAGAGGATGCAGCTGGGAACAGAGGCTGAGTGCATTTCCCAAAGGTGTGTGGAAAGAATGAATCAGCTTCATCCAGGTGCCCACTGCGTGCCCTCTCTCCAGGGACAGTCATGTGGCGTGGAGCGTGTATCACCTGTCCCACTGCCGGCCAAGCTGGCATGCGAGAGGAGGCAGCCTTTGCTCTGGAGCCCACCCAGTCCCCTTTCAGGGTCCCTCATGCTTTAAGCTCCTCCACACCCGATCTTCCACTCCCTTCCTGCTGACATTTCCACTCTGCTCTTTCTTGCTCCTGCTTTCTGCTAGCCCAGGTGCTAGGTGCTAGGGGCATAATGACAAATAAGACATGGTACTTGCCATATCTCGAGGACTCTTCTAGGACCTTAACTGCAGTGTGACATGGATGCCATCTTCTCAGAAGAACAGCACGTGTGGCCCCTAGTTACCTGCTCCACCTGACCCTTGGCCAAAGCAGTCTACCTTGCATTGGCTCCTTTCCCCATGTCCTGAGCCCGGCTGTTGAGGAATTGGCTAACCATCCCTGGAAAAGTTCTGATAAACTCAGCTGCAATACAAATGTTTGTGTTTTAGCGAAAGGACTTAGAAACGGCTGATGACTCAGCCAAAGGAAAGAATTGCTTATGTTAGAGCTTTCAGGAGTCTTTGTAGCCAGGGGCGGGAGCAGCGAGGAGGGTACGCCCAATCCCATGGGGTGTGTGTGTGTGCGTGTGTGTGTGTGTGTGCACGCACACGCGTGCACACGCTCAAGGATAATTTTCTGTGGGGCTCACTACGGGAACACAATGGCATGGTGGCAAAGCTAGATTTATTGGGCCACAGTAATGAGACTGGGATAAAATGAGACTTTCTTGCCCAAATCATGAAAAAACCAGAAGGTTACAGAAAATAATAAATAAAACAAGATGCCTCCATACGCAAAAGAGTAGTCTCTCTACCTCATACCATATACAAACATTAACTCAAAATGGATCAATGACCTAAATAGAAGAGCTAAAGTAATAGCCTTAGGAGAAAAAAACTTAGGTGTAATACATCATGACCTTGTATTAGGCAATAGTTTCCTACATATGACACCAGAAACACAAGTAACACAAGGAAATTGGACATCATAAAAATTTAAAATTTTCTGCATTAGGGACTTCCCTGGGTGTGCAATGGTTAAGACTCCACGCTTCCACTGCCGGGGGCATGGGTTCAATTCCTGGTCAGGGAACTAGGATCCCGTATGCCACACAGCGTGCCAAAAAAAATAATAAAATAAAATAAAAATAAATAAAATAAAAATTTTGCATCAAAGGACACTGTTAAGAAAGTGAAAAGACAACACAGAATGGAAGAAAATATTTGCAAACTGTATCTGATAAGGGACTTGTATCTAGAATATATAAAGAACCCTTGCAACCCAATAATAAATGACAAATAACCCAGTTACAAACGGCAAAGGGTCTCAATAAACATTTCTCTAAAGAAGATAAACAAATGACCAGGAAGCACATGAAAAGATACTCGACATCATTAGCTCCCAGGGAAATGCAAGTCAAAACCACAGGGAGCTACAACCTCACAACCAATAGGATGGTTGTGTAATCAAAATGACAAAAGTTGGCAAGAATGTAAAGAAATTGGGACCCTTGTACACTGCTGGCAGGAATGTAAAATGGTGCAGCTGCTTTGGAAAATGGTCTGGCACTTCCTCAAACCGTTAAACATAGAGTTACAGATAACCCAGCCGTTCCACTCCTACGTATGTACCCAGAAGAAATGAAAATATATGTCTACACACAAACTTGTGGATGAATGTTCTTAGCAGCATTACTTGTAATAAACGAAAAAGCGGAAGCAACCCAAATGTCCATCAGTGGATGAATGGATGCATAAAATGTGGCATATCCATTTAATGGAATATTACTCAGCCATAAAAAGGAATAAAGCACTGATACAGGCTACAACATGGATGAACCTCAAAAACATTATGCTGAGTGAAAGAAGCCAGTCACGAAAGACCACATATTGTATGATTCCATTTATATGAAATTCCAGAATAGGCAACTCCATAGAGAGAGAAAGTAGGTTAGCGGTTTCCAGGGGCTGGCAGGAGGTAGGGGGAGTGACTGCTGACAGGTATGAAATTTCTTTTTGTAGTGAGGAAAGTGTCCTGACATTGATAGCAGTTGTGGTTGCACACCTCTGTGACTATACTAAAAACAAATGAGTTGCACAATTTAAATGGGTGAATTGAATGGTATATAAATCATATTTTCAATAAAGTAGTTATAAAAAGCAAACAAAACACACACACAGGGCTTCCCTGGTGGCGCGGTGGTTGAGAGTCCGCCTGCCGATGCAGGGGACGCGGGTTCGTGCCCCGGTCCGGGAAGATCCCACATGGCGCGGAGCGGCTGGGCCCGTGAGCCATGGCTGCTGAGCCTGCGCGTCCGGAGCCTGTGTTCTGCAACGGGAGAGGCCACAACAGTGAGAGGCCTGCGCACCGCAAAACACACACACATACACACACACACACACACCCCAGAATGACTTGCCCTCTTCTGTTGAGCTGCAGAGCCAGTCTCATTACTCCAGGCTTGACTTAGTATGGGGCTAG